GGAGTCAAAGCTGGCAGCCTCTGCTGTCTGAGATCGCAGCTGCTGGTAAGCGCGCTTGGAGCGGGGCTGCGGAGGATGGCTAGGGCTGCCCCCCCCATGCGGCCCAAACCAAATTTATGTGCGGCCCAAACCAAATTTTCATCTTCTAATGTGGCCCAGGGAAGGTGAAAGGTTGGACACTCCTGCTGTAGAGGAAGGAGGTGTTAACAGGCTTGGGGGAACCCCAGAGTTCTGCAAGAGGACACAATGTCTTTATAAGGAGATGCCTTGTGGTGACCTCCCCCCTCCCTAAAAAAAATAAATACATTTGGCCAATTAAGTGACAGTTAACCTTGGAGTGGAATGGTATGGATAGCTGTCTGGAGAATTGGAACAGTAAACTGGTAGTGAAGTGGAAGGATTTCCAGGGGGAAAAATCCACTATAAGGTTACGTTGTGGTTCGTGCTTGTCTAAATTAATTTTGGTTGTTGTGAGTTTTTTTGGGCTCTTTGGCCGTGTTCTGAAGCTTGGGTTAGGGTTAGGGTTCAGAACACAGCCAAAGAGCCCGAAAAACCCAAAACAACCATTAGATCGCGGCCATGAAAGCCTTCGCGAATACATTAATTTAATTTTGCATCATCTGAGGATGTTTCAAAACAAAACTGTTTTAAATTTTTTTTAAGATTCAAGTTATGTGAACTTTTCTCTGTTTTCCAATTGTCTTGCAGGTGACCCTACTCTAGTCAGTTGTCCTTCAAGAATGGGTGATGTCCTTGCTTATGAAGCAGAACTACTTGGCATTGTGAAGGAGGTAGGTGTTTCTTTTCATTGTTTTTGAGTTTCTGTGCAGTAATCCAGAATTATTATATCACAGTTGCTAATTTGGGTTGTTTAGGGGGTGAGTCTAATGGCTCCAAAGTTTAAGCTTTTAAGTCCAAGCCTTAAAAGATGCTTCACACTCCTTCCTCTGACAGGAGGCTCTCTGTTATAATGAGCTCATTAGGTACTGCTCTAATGGGAATGATCTATCTATCTTTTGTTTTTGCCTAAGATGGCTACATTTTCCAAAAGTCAATTGATCTGAGTCGAAGGGGTCAGAATTTAATTCCAAGTTTTCATTTAGAGCTGCGCTGGAAAACCTTTGGACATGGAGAGGTTTTGCTTCTGATCAGCTCCAAAAGATATGGGATTGTGGGAATTGTAGTCCAGAAAAATTCCCCATCTCTACCTTAGAGGCTAAAAGTCTGAATCTGTTCTGTTACCATTAGTCAAGGGATCACACCAAGTTAGGCATACAGCTAACTCAGTCTTTTATTCCTGCATTGTCTCTGTTTTGTTCATATCCATGTGGGGAAGCTTTGAACATTGTATATAGGGAATAACCGAAAACATTTAAAGACTTCATTGTTTTGATTTCTTCTATTTAATCTGTGCAATATATAAATAAAATTTCTTCTGTTTTATCAGTGCAAGATATAAATAAAATTTCTTCTGTTTTATCAGTGCAAGATATAAATAAAATGTTTTCACCCGTCTGTCATCATTTTTTACATAAATGTCTTGTGTTTTTAACCCAAGCACATTCCAGATCAGCTGCTAATTTTGGAAGTCTTCCATCTCATTGCTCTCTTCAGTATGTTGTTTTCGGTTTTCAGACCAGATGTAGGCTGTAGTCATAAGCCTGCTTAGCTAAGAATAAGTCCCACTGACTTCTGAATAGTGATAATATAGGTTTGCAGTGTTAGCATTCTGTTTCTCGCATTATCTAATACGAAGGAGGACTGGGTGTGAAAATAAAAAAGACCTTTTAGAGTCTTTGCCAATTTTAGCCCCGAAGACAAACAGTGGTCTTCATGTTCTCTTGCGCTGGATTTCTGTGATCTTTCTTTATTATGTCTTCAAATGGGACTTTTAATTTCCCTGTGCCGTCTTGTGTTTGCAGTATTTAGAATTTGCAGAATTTGAAGATACTGTGAAAACATTTACAAAGGAATGCAAAATAAAAGGAAAGCCATTGCCAAAAACAGGAGACAGTTCTGTCAGGGACTCCAAGGTGCTAATAATTCAGGTAACATCTCATTATTTTTATGAAATTAACATTTAGTTGAGTGGAAGAAATATGATACTCCTGCTTCTTCATTGGGACTTTTCTCTGAAACTCTATTACTGTTTTTAACATGAATCTGTGGATCTGACTAGATAGCTCAGTGGTTTCAGTTTCTGAGCCCAAGGTTGAGAGTTTTGTTCCCCACAGTGTCTTCTGTGAGTAGAGCCAGCCTGTGGGGCCTTGGGCAAACTGCACAGTCCCGGGATGGGCCCCAGAAGACGAGAATGGTAAACCACTTCTGTGTATTCTGTGCTTGGAACCCTAGAAAGAGTTGGAATTGACTTGACACCATGCAGTTATTATCATAAGATATAAGTGATGGTTTAACATCATACGGAGAAATTTTAACTTTGTTTGCTTCAGAAGCAAAGATAGCACATCACCAGCTAAACAATTTTTTTAAAAAAATAATTTCTGGAAATTTTAGCAACATATCTTTGGATACTGGATTTCTGTCCCATTAAATATGAAAATGTTGAAAGCTGATGTCATTTTCTGCATGGACTATGTTAAAAAATTCACCTTGTACCCTTGTATTCTTGCTCCTTGCCCTTTCCTGGACCCCCTGATCAGGTGACCCAACTAAATGAGAGATGATCTCTATGTGGAGCCTCCACATTTTATCCCATTATACCTCTAAATGCTGCATTTCACAGAACAAAGGTAGTGTTTGCACCTGTTCTATGCATCCTAAAGTTGGAGAGCTACTTTTTGAAGAGTGGAGGATGAACAAGTCAGTCCTCAGGGTGTTGGCTTGAGCCCTGATTACAACGTGGCTGAGGGGTGCTCTTAAAAGAGGTAGGCTGCATTGTAGCAAAGGCTTAAGAAGTCCAGTGTCCCATTTTCTGCCTTGGCCATTAAAAAGTTTGCAAGCAAAGATACAAGCACAGTAGCATGCTCTCCCTTGCTCTCCCAAGCCAAGCGTACTCAGAGGTACACTGTTTCTGATCCTGGAGGTAGCTTAGTGCCATCATGACCACTTAACACATGTGGGTAATCCCTATATCAATCAGAGGTACACTGTTTCTGATCCTGGAGGATCATGACCACTTAACACGTGGGTAATCCCTATATCAGTCATATAATAATTGCATGGCAACCAGTTGATTCTGACTTACAGCACCATTTCCAGGGTTTGTTTCTCGGTATAAAGTCACCAGAAGTGGTTTGCCATCCCTTCTGACAGTGGTCTAAGACCGTGCAGCTTGTCCAAGGCTGTGCAGGCTGGCGTTGGTCCCAGTAGGCACAGCGGGAAAGTTGGACTGAAATGAATTGAACTTTGCAGCCAACTTAGTGGTTATTCAAGCACGAATATACAGGCATGCTTTAAAGCCCTCGGGACTTTTCTTATAGTGGGGAATGGCAGAGCTGGAAGAGGCCGGGAGAGAACAAAAATCTAAAAACCATGTTGGCCAGAGAGTGAGTCTTCAGCACCCGTCTTTCGTGTGAAGGTCCCAAGAAGAAGCCTCCATAAAACCAGCTGGAGACATGTTGGTAGGGGATTTATGGCCAGTTTGTCTCTCTCTTGGGACATGGTGGTGCTGCAGGCTAAACCGCAGAAGCCTATGCTGCAGGGTCAGAAGACCAGCAGTCGTAAGATCAAATTCATGCAATGAGTGAGCTCCTGTTGCTTGTCCCAGCTCCCGCCAACCTAGCAGTTCGAAAGCATGCAAATGTAAGTAGATAAATAGGGACCACCTCGGTGGGAAGGTAACAGTGTTCCGTGTCTAAGTTGCACTGGCCATGTGACCACGGAAGATTGTCTCCGGACAAACGCTGGCTCTGTGGCTTGGAAACGGGGATGAGCACCGCCCACTAGTCGAATACGACTGGACAAAAATTGTCAAGGGGAACCTTTACCTTTACCTGTCTCTCTCTAGTCCTGTAGACAAAGGGACGCCAGTCACTCCAGTTTTCACAGGCTTGCAGCCTCTATCTTGGGATTTTACTTAAAGTGTAGACCCTGAAACCTCACCATCTGGATGGGACACTTTTTGGGTTTTACTGTTTTGCTCCTCCCCCCCCCCCGGCCTAAAGAGGAATCGTGAAGGACTGGGAAATTTAATAAAGGCATTAGCCATGCTTGCTTTGGGATTTTATACAAGGGCTATGCAGTCCTTTTCTGTTTTTCAAATCTTGACTCGTGACCCTTGTTTTATTAATCTTCTGATCTCTTTCAAAGCCATTCAGGTTTGGGTCATTATCACACTGATGGAAACAATTTCCAGAACTTAATGGTGTGCTGTATGAAGAACTAGCCTGCCCTGAATTTCTCACCTTTTGGGTTTAGTGAATGATTCTAGATTCTGTTATTATATGAAAAGGAAGCACAAGTTCCTGTTGGGTGCAGAAAACAGTAAAAGATTTTCTTGGTACAGAAATGGTGTTTTTAAAATTAGGTGCTAATCCTCAGCCTCATTCAGTTTGTCCACAGAGGTGATCAGATGCAGGCGGTGTAGAGATAAGGTGTTTCATATTTAAAAATGGAGGAAGTGAATGATCAAAGAGCTGGTCTTTTCCCCTTCTCTTTGAAAGGATCTGCTCACTTCCTTTACTGATGGAGACCAGGCCGCTTTCTTCGACCTCTGGGAAGGGCATGTTCCCTCCTCCATCCGAGACAACGAGGCTGTGGCCCAGAAGTTGGAGTTCTACCTTCACATCCATTTTGCCACCTTCCTCTTCAAGCACACCGTGGGAAAACCGGTATTGTTATTGTTCCTTCATCATGGGCAGAGGAGGCCGTGAAGGGGGTCAGCTCTTAGGTCTCCATGTCTAGATGCAGTCCCGTTGGTTCAGTCTTTTCTGGCTGATGAGGAGTAGGTCAGACTTGCAGCTTGGGTGCAGTTTTTTTCCTGAGTGGTTAAATGACTGAGTGGCTCCTTCCTACATGCAAAAATAACAGCCCTCTGAATAAAAATTTTAATATTGGGAAGAACGGTTCTAGGCTTGCCTTCTCCCTGCTGTATTAGATTTCTGTGTGCAGACTTTATTTTATTTTAGGCTATTTTATTCAGGTGGCTGGAGAGCTCAATGGTTTAAGTGGTTTAGGTCTCTAGTTGGGGAGCCAGAGGTTGGGATTCAATTCCCCACTGGGCCTCTTAAGAGAAGAGCCAGCCTGGGTAGCCTAGGGCAAGCTGCACAGTCCCAGAGGTGTCCCCCAGAAAATGAATGGTGAATCACTTTACTCTACCTGGAGAATCCCGAAAAGGGTTGCCATAGTCAGAACTGACCTGACAGGACATGATTATGAGTAAGATGTTCAGGAGTGGTCCCCTTGGAAAGCAGACTCCATCAGGTTGCTGTCCTCTGAAGATGCTGGCCACAGAGACTGGCAAGACGTTAGGAAGAAAAACCTTCAGAACACGGCCAAATAAGATGTTCAGGAGTGGTCCCCTTGGAAAGCAGACTCCATCAGGTTGCTGTCCTCTGAAGATGCTGGCCACAGAGAGTAGTGAAACGTTAGGAAAAACAACCTTCAGAACACAGCCAAAGAGCCCGAAAAACCCACAACAACCATTAGATCCCGGCCGTGAAAGACTTCGTGAATATATCACACTCCATCTTCTTCTTCCCATCTATGGGATAAGGGTGAGGAGCGAGTGGGAGGAGTCGCTTCTTGTTTCTTCTCCTCACCCACGAAGGAAAGAGAGGAGGAAATGCCCAAGGCTCAGTCATGCTTGTTTCTTGTCCTCCAAACCACGGTTTGACCGTGTAGTATCTTACAACGCCATCCTAAGCATGCTTGTGTGTGGGTTCAAATTTTAAACCTCCAGTCTCCACAACAAATTCAGGAGTCTTTTTTTAACTTTGAACCAAGGGAAAGGTTTATTGGAGTATTCAACGAATAATCAGTGCCCAAACAAGGGTTCCATAGTCACCAACGGGTCAGACAGGAGTACCCAAGCGTCATTCAGAAAGGGATTAGTATCGTTGTTGTTCCACGGGCCTGGCCACCCGGTTGTCGCGTCCTCCTTGAAAACCTTTTCTTTCCAGTAGGGGAACGGCCTCGTCCTCGGTGGGGTTGATCCACCCGACATCTCTTGTTGGGTGAAAAGGTCGCCCAGGGTCCTCTGGGAAGCCTCTCCTCCTCATCTCTCCTCTACCCTCCATGTCAATCTTTCTCTCTTTTCTCTTTCCACCTTCTCCTTTTCCTCCCTCAAACTCCTTCGCCACTCCCGGGCTTCAGCCTCCCCCAATAGGATGGTCTAGGGGGAATCTCTCTCCTGTGCCGGTAATTGGCTTCTTCTTTAGGTACCCTGAGACGCTCCCATTCTCCAGTCCATGGGTCCTGTAACCACACCCATTCCCAACCTGGCGACAATGGGCTTTCTCCCCTTCTTATCTCCGCTGTCCGCGCCTCAATCTCCGCCCTCTTTGTTCTTCCTATTCCTGCCAAATCCTCTGTTTGAACGGCTACCGTTAACCCGTGCAATTCGTTCTCCAAGTCCTGGGTGTCAGCACCCCGTTGTTCTCTTCTGCGGGGAGCTGGGGTGGACGAGGTCTGGCTTTCCCTGTCGGCAGTCTGTGGGAGGGACAGCACTCCAGTGAGAGACTCCTTTCTCTCTCCCCCCCTCTGTCTCACAGCTTGCTTTATAATAAAGGAGTGCTGGTTTGTGCTTTTGGAGGACACTTCCGAAAAATCCCGAGGTGCCGGTGGGGTGGCTGGGCATGTTATTCTACCCTGCTGTCCTTCATGCAAAGCACTGTCCGGTGGCTTGGGTTTACACTTGCCTTTCTCCTCTTCCCCCTCACTCTCCAGGGCACTGCTTGCCTGTTATGAGCCACGGAAGAAATGAGATTTCTGCCAAAGGTGCAAGCCTAGCTTAAAATGAAGCAGCGTCAGCTTTAAGGATAGCTGTGCCACTGGGGCAATATCACACCGATACTAAAAAAAAAAAAGCTCAGGCAATTTGTTTTGGCAGTAAAGCAGTAAAATACCCCAGTGTGGCTGTGAAGAGTCAGTTTAAACGGCGCCCTAAGCTCACCTGCAGGCTGCCTGCAGTATTTAATAGGTGAGAATTGATGCCTTCCAAAAATACCACGTCATGCTGTGGGCCTTTGGCTTTCGCTTGATATCGGTCCCTGCTCAATTAAAACTGCAGGGCGAGGGTTGCAGTGCTGCTGGCCAGCCGCATGCGGTCAGAAATTCAGTTATTTAAAGTAACTTCTATGGAACTGGTGGAAGAAAATGTACACGTCTCCTGCTCCTTATGCAGCTGAGACCATGTTTTGCCCATGTTTTGTTTTGTTCAGAGATCACCATGCGGCATGTTTCTGAAACCAGAAAAAAATGTCACGTATTGTAACTCAATAATTTCTTTCCCAACTTAAAACTTGGACAAGAAGCAGAGGAAGGGAGATTTATAAGTGTATTTCATAACCCTTGGCTTTTGTATAGCCTCCCCCTTTTTTGGCTATGGCCATAAACCCAGTATGAAAGAAAGATAGGCTGAACCAGGATTGACCCCCTTCCGCTGGGCCAGCCCCCCCCCCGAGGGGCCTATGGTCATTGTTGAGACCGGCTGCTTTAGGGTATTCATATCTCATCACCTAAGTATTCAGGTATTCATATATCATCACCTAAGTATTCACATGTCCTCATTGAGCAATGCGATCCCTCCTGGTATTCATATCTCATCACCTAAGTATTCACATCTCATTGAGCAATGCGATCCCTCTGATCCCTCCGTTTCCTATGTGAGGGTTAGGATGGCCATCGAGGGCCCCCTAGTGAAAGCCTGGAAGAGGTGAGAATTTGATCTTAGGGATTCTTGGCTTAGAGCCCCTTCCTTAGCCCTTGTGCTCCCCTTTGTTCAGTCTAAAGAGGTCAACACCTAAAGCTATTTTAATTTGCAAGTCGTGAGCTAGGCACGAAAAATATGTGTTTAGCCATTTGTCCTTGCGGAGATGCCATCCTTATGTCCTCTCCAGCTCCTTCAATTTTTGCCGCTCTTTCTTCACCCTGGACACTTTGCAAAAAGTTCTTGATGGGAAGAAGCAGCTTCTTCCATTTTGGGTGTGGCGTTTAGGGCCCTGGTTGAGGCGTGGAACCAACTAGAGGCTCAGTCAATTGCTGTTTAAATCACATTCTTTGGACACGGTAACACTGATCTGCAGATTCACTGGCTTTTATTTCTTCATTCCCCAAGAACAAAGCTGCTTTGGATAAAAGGATTTCGTGTTTTAAAACCTACCTGGAGACCAAAGGGGCCGCCCTGAGCCAGACCACGGAATTCCTGCCCTTCTACGCCTTGCCCTTTGTTCCCAACCCTACGATCCACCCATCTTTCCAGGAACTGTTCCAGGTAGGTACTGCCAGTTTGTTCAGGAGGTGTCGTGGGGGCTCCCTTCTCCGTGGGGACGGGCGGATGTGGAATAACCGTTAGCTCAGCAAAATGGGGGTGTCGCTGTTGTTGTCACCCAGCATTGTGGGAAATGGGACTCGGCTCATCTTTGAACTTGAATTTGTAGAAATGAATTCATAAATAAAAATTGATTAAAGATTTTCCCCATCTTAAAAAAAAGAAGGCTTCAAGGTCACTAACACATGAAAAAAAATGAACAAAGACACAAAAAATGTTCTGGCATCTTAAAGACTAACGGCTGTGTTTTATTGTGAGCTTTTGAGGGCAAAGTCTACTTCCTCAGACCCTGCCTGAACTGCTAGCAGAGAAGAACATGGCTACCTCTTCTAGAATTCGCGCATTAAAATAGATTGGAACATTAGTCAGCCAGGATGCAGATAGTTCATTAACTTAAATGCATTCTATTGTACCTTTTGTGAAAGAATAACTTCTTTCATTTGCACTAATAGCCCAACAGTGATGGGATCATTTCTGTCTGAAGAATCTGTAATACCGTAATAATTAGAGGAATATGGTCTGTAGAGTTTTCCCCAGACAGAACTCAATGGCTGCATTCTGGAGCTCTTTTTTCTTTAAAAGTACACAAGGGAATACATTTTAAGATATATGTTGTTTTACCTTCCTTACTGGCTTATAAAACCCTGTATTGCCTGACATGTCAGCTGTATTTTGGTTTGGGTTCCTGCACTGAGCCAGGGGTTGGATTCCATGGCCTTATAGCCACCTTCCAGCTCCATTATTCTAGGATTCTGTGTCTTGGAGGAAAACTGTTAAAAAGCAGCCTCACACAGAACATGCTACAGTAGCGGAAATGGGCATGAACTGAACTAGAACTGAACCGCCTAGAGTGGTCGAAATGACTAGATAGGCGGGGTATAAACAAACAAACAAACAAACAAACAAACAAACAAACTGCGAACCCGAAAAACTGATGAACCAGGCTGGGTTGCGGTTCAGTTTGTAATCTGGTTTGGGGATCCCGTTTTGCTTTGGTAGAGGAGGCAGAGGGCATAGGAAGCAGGAAGGTCTCCTCCAGTCACAAACCAGAAAAGCCAATCATGAACTGCTTCATATTTTTTTCTAGGGGTTCATGGTGGTTTGTGGTTCATTGTTAGCCACGAACCATAAACCATCACAAACCTCTGTTTCTCCGGTTTGTGCCCATCTCTATACAGTAGTCTAGTCTAGGTATTACTGAGGCCTTTAAATCTAATGACTTGCCCTTTAGGACATGATCTGCTTATAGTTGGTTGTTCTAGTCATCCATAAAGCTTTCCTTTTGAAGTGCTGTTGCACAGCTTCTGTATTAATGAAGCTTTGGCAGGCAAGCTTTTTGACGGCTTGTGCTCCTGCAGAATGGTAATTGTCTGGTTTGGATGGCCAGTCTGCATCTTCCCTCTCTACACAGAGGTGCCAACAGTTTTTTTCCCCCTGCATAAACTATCCCAAGTCTTCTGACATGCTTTACATTTCACAAGGAAACACGTTGTAAGTCATATGTTGTTCTGTCTTACTTGTTGGCTTACAAAACATTGTCATGGTGTGGCATGCCTTGAAGCAAGAAACCTGCAGACATTTGGAAAGCAGTTCTGATTTGTGTGTGTTTGTCTTCTAGGATGCTTGGGAGGCTGATCTAAAAATGAGGTTGGAAGAATTCCTGTCTGTGACTCTGAAAGCCAGTAATACCCCACGGCTTCTTACATTATATGTATCCTTTGCAAAATACTTGGAATAGAGTTGCATTCTAAGAACTCTGAAGTGACCCCTCTCAGGTGGGCAGATTAATAAGTTTGTCAGACCATTTAGGAACTTAAGCAGTCTGACCCCGTGCATGTTCACTTGAAGCTAAGCCTTGATGATCCCAGCGGGACTTTCTCCAGAGAAGGATGCAATCCAGTACACTTTTGTGATCAGAGTGGGGCTTAAATGCACCACAGGCAGCATGTCGCCCTAATCTCCTGCCTCTCAAAAAATTGAGGATAGGGGTGAATGCCACCCTGGAGTCTTCCAAGAGTAGAGATTCATCCCAGAGTGCAGGACATGTAACAATGGGCTCAAGCTACAGGAAGCCAGATTTAGGTTGAAGCTCTGGAAAAACGTCCTAACTGTTAGAGCAGTATGATAATGGAACCAACTGCCTTGGTAGCTGGTGAGTGCTCCGATGGTGGGGGCATTCAAAAGAAAATTGGAGAACCATCTATCATATCTGCTTTGACTTGGATTCGTGCCTTGAGCAGAGAATTGGATACGATGGCCTTAGAGGCCCCTTCCAATTCCCATTATTCTATGATTCACTTTTGAAGTGTATTCCAGTGGCTCTGATTCTATTGTATCTATAAAGCGGTCCTGTTACTGATTCCAAATGAGTGGTTTTCTTCTGAAATTCTTTTGTACACACCAGTAGCCAATGTATTATACATTTTAATAAGATCTCTTGTGCCTGCCCCTTTTCTGAACACAGCTTGAACATGGGCCATTTCTCCTTCTATATATAGTAAAAAGGCTTTGTTGTGACTCCTTCAATATCACTTTGCTTGTGTAGGCCATTAATACGATGGTTCTCTTGTTCCCTGCCCAGTTTGGCATTATCTTTCTTGGGGATTGGAATGTATATTGAATAGAGATGATCATGAAAAGCCCTGCTTCCTCCATTGGGTGCCCACTTGGAAGCAGTGGCCTGACTTCCCTGCCCCACCTCCTCTGGCAGTTGCCTCTGAGTGGGCACCTACCAGAGGAGGCAGGGCTTTGGAGCACAAAACACATGTTCAACTGATAAACAAACCAGCACGAATCACCAAACCGGCAGTTCGTACCACTCTCTAATATTGAATATTTGCCATCTCTGGGCCATTGTTTTGTGTTCCCTGATTCTTTGCCTGTTCTTGTCAGGATTTTGACAGATTCAGTCTCTGTTGTTTACAATAGTCCTATCAGTATTCCATCTACTCTTGGTGACATATTTCTCCCAAGTTCTTTGAACTTGTCATCCACCTAGTTTTCTAACGTTGCAGGCTCTTCATCACATGATTCTTCTTCAATGGAATTTTTGTAACTATAGTGGTGCCTCGCTTAGCGATTGCCTCGTTTAACAATGTATTTGCTTAGCGATGAGGTTTTTGGAGCGATTTTGCGCTCCGTTTAGCAATGTTTCCTATGGGGAAATTTTGCATAGCGATGTTCGGGACCTTGCCTCATTTAGCGATGACAGTTTAGGTCCCCCTGTTTCACTTAGCGATGTCAAACCTACAGTTCAGTGCATTCCAATGGGGGGAGGATTCACCAAAAATTAACGAAGAGTCAGAACAAAGCCAAATTAAGTTTGCAAAGGTTTTACAAGGTGCACTAACGATTCCAAGCATTTAAAACAGTTTTTGAACATTTTAAGACACACTTAAAATAGTGAAAATGGACCTGTCAAAACCATTGAAATGCATTGAATAGGCTTCAGTGCATTCCAATGGGGGAAACATTGTTTCGCTTAACGATGTTTCCTATGGCGATTTCCGCTTAAGGACAGTAATCCGTTCCCATTGGAACGGATTATCCGGTTTTCAATGCATTCCTATGGGAAATGGTGTTTCGCTTAGCGATGTTTTCCCATAGCGATGGTTTTTTGGGAACCAATTAACATTGTTAAGCCAGGCACCACTGTATTTGCATTAAATTCATATATTGCAGTATGGTGTTCTGTTAATTGAGAGGACCATTGTGGTGTTCGCCCTTGTGGCCCCTGTTTGTCTCACTAAACGCAGAGCTCACAAAAATCAAAACACCTCTCGACATGCTACCACCAGTTGATCTCCTTATCAACTTACTTTACTTAGGAAAGATGAAGGTCCATTCAGTAATGACTTTTCAATAGAACAGGTTTCTTGATTACAGTTGGTTTCTGGAACAATTCATAAGCACTATCTTCAAGTTTTATCAAGCTTCAATATTAACCTTCTATAATTATTATTAGAATTTACACTTAGACTAATCACTCCTCAGACCCCTCCTTCTCTCTCTCATTCTAACACAGACTGACTCAACTCAACTTAGACTTAACTCCTCCTCTCTCAGGCTACGCCTTTCAACATCTCTTTCGGCCCCACCTCTTTATCACATTAGCATATAACTGATGACTAATACATAACATTGCGTAACAAGCGTGAATGCTACAACCATTTAAAATGACAAAATGGTTTATGCAGTTAATCAACCAAATGAGCAGCTAAATCACAGTGTGGATTTCGAGCTAATAGATTGAGCACTGACATGGTATTCTCCCTCAGACAGTTGCAGGAGAAATGCAGGGAACAACAACAGCCACTCTTTGTGCCTTTCATAGATCTCACAAAGGCCTTTGATTTGGTTAGCAGGGAGGGCCTTTTTAAAATACTTCCCAAGATTGGATGTCCACCTCGACTCCTTAACATCATCAGGTACTTTCATGAGGAAATGAAGGGCACTGTAGTTTTTGATGGCTCAACATCAGATCCGTTTGACATCCGAAGTGGAGTGAAACAGGACTCTGTCCTCGTGCTGACCCTGTTTGGGATCTTTTTTGCTGTCATGCTGAAGCAGGCCTTTGTAACTGCAACAGAAGGTGTCTATCTCCGGACTAGATCAGATGGAAAGCTCTTTAATCTCTCTAGATTGAGAGCAAAGACCAAAGTCCAGCTGAAATACATGCAGGACTTCCTCTTCGTTGATGATGCAGCTATTGTTGCCCATTCTGCTGAAGACCTCCAACAACTCATGAATCACTTTAGCAAGGCCTGCCAAGACTTTGGATCAACAATCAGCCTGAAGAAAACACAAGTCGTGGGCCAGGGCATGGACTCACCTCCCTCTATTACCATCTCCACGCAAGAATTGGAGGTTGTTCATGACTTTGTGTACCTTGGCTCAACGATCTCTGACTCTCTCCCTAGAGTGGTCTTTTAGGCTAGATGGGCGGGGTATAAATCAAACAAACAAACAAATAAATGTCAAGCTGGATAAACGCATTGGCAAAGCAGCTACCATGTTCTCTACTCATAAAGAGAGTATGAATTAATAAGGAGCTTACGGCATACACCCAGGTCTATAGAGCCTGTGTCCTGAGTACACTCCTGTGCTGCAGTGAGTCCTAGACCCTTTGTGCACGGCAGGAGAGGAAGCTGAACACGTTCTATATGCATTGCCTCTGACGCATTTTTAGTATCACCTGGCAGGACAAAGTTCCAAATAAAGTAGTCTTAGAAAGAGCTGGAATTTTTAGCATATATACATTACTGAAACAGCAACGTCTACGTTGGCTTGGGCATGTCATGAGAATGGCGGATTCCAAAGGATCTCCTGGATGGAGATTTAGTGCAGGGAAATCGCCCCAGAGGGAGACCACAGCTGCAATACAAGGAGATCTGCAAGCGGGATCTGAAGGCCTTAGGAATGGACCTCCACAGATGGGAAACCTTGACCTCTGAGCGTTCAGCCTGGAGGCAGGCGGTGCATCATGGCCTCTCCCAATTTGAAGAGACCCTTGTCCACCAGGCCGAGGCCAAGAGGCCATCCCGAAACCAGCAAAATCGGGGAGCTGGACAGGGGACAGATTGTATTTGTCTTCAGGGTGGAAGGGATTGTCACTCTTCGATTGGCCTTCTCAGCCACACTGGATGCTGTTCCCAGGCCGCTGTTCAGAGCACGTTACCATCATCTCTCGAGACTGAAGGATGCCTAATCTAGGAGCAGCTAAAACATGGCAGCAGAGAGGAGCCACATATCCTTCCATTCAACTCTTTGAAGTGTGTCTTCTCACACCAGTCAGGGCTGCGGTGGTGTGATTTCCATTGGACAAGCCTTGAGGAGACTCGCATTTCTGCTCTGCTCCATTCATTGCCCGGTGCTTCTACCTGCCTGCTGATCATTACACTATGCTACCCACTAGCACTTATTTCCCCTCAGCTGAGGATGCACACCTATCTCAGCCTGGAACTTGTGTGTGGAGGGAATGAATTGCTGGTGGGAAACTGCAGGGGCAAACCTGTGGTGTAAAGGAACAGTTAAATTCCTTCCATCCACCTCAAACCTTTCTGCTGTAAAAGCTTGTTCTCTCAGCTCCACCTTTGCAGAAAATCTGGCATTTCAGCTTTAAAGATGCTGTGTTGGATTGGAAAATGTAGTTCCCCCTTCAGTGGCCACTTGAACAGGCCTAGTTGAGTTGACACCTCCGGATATATGGTGTATGTCTTCCCTCACTTTCACCCTTTAGAGGGAAACATGCAATTAAAGTATCACTTGAGACCTCCTTAACATGCTTGTTTATACTGATTGTCATGCTTTACGATTTGATGGAGTTTGACTGATAATGCTGTCCCTGTATGACCCTTTTCTTGATCCCAGTTACTGTCTAGTAGAATTTAATGAGGTATTTCCTAAGACTTATGGCTTGTTGTACATGTTTAGGGATATGTAAAAGTATCAGCATACTCTGCGTATTAATCTATACAGGCTACTTTATAGTTAAAGAAGGTTTAATGCTCAGCAGTAGAGCACACACTTTGATGTGTGCATGCTCTGTAGATTCTCTAAAAGAAATGTTTTAGATATCTTTTCTCTGTGTAGAAGAGATCTTAACAACAAAACACAAAAAGTCATAGAATCATAAAATAATGGAGTCGGAAGGGGCCTCTAAGACCATTGAGTCCAACCCCTTGCTCAAGGCAGGAATTAAAATCAAAGCAGTTTAACCATGTGCTGTGCAGGGAACTGCTTCCTTCAGTTGGTCCTGCATCTCCCACCTTTCAGCTTCATTGGAGGAACATTGGGTTCTTTTTTAAGGAGAAAGGATAAAAATATTTTAAATAAGTAAGTAGATCAGATAAAATAAACCTTTTTAAAAAAAATATGAGGGAGGAAAATACTTTTTTGTTAAAGGATGGTTAAATTGGCTTCCTGGGCCTATAACTTCACAGAATTATTTCTCCCTGTAAAGAGACATCGAATTTATTATTAATAATAAGATTCGTAAAGTACCTTTTTATCTCATGAGTTGTCGAGCTGTTGCCGTTCTGTCTCGGTTGTTGTTTATTGACTTTCCTTAACTATCATTCTCTCAACTGGTAGAAGGAGAACACACAGTGCAATCAAGGTAAATAATTCTAGCAAAAAGTAATTTGTTTATTTATTTAATTTATTACAGAAATTTTTTTACTCTGCCTTTCCCCCTGAAAGGATCCAGTTTATTTATTATTAAATAAATAAAAGTAAATTGTGTGCACATAGGCATCAACATGCACTTCCTAGAGCCAAAATGGAGGAAATGTTTAATGGGACGTTCGTTTAGTCGTGTCCGACTCTTTGTGACCCCATGGACCAGAATACACAGGGCCCTCCTATCTTCCACTGCCTCCCAGAATTGTGCCAAATTCATGTTGGTTGCTTCGATGACCCTGTCCAACCATCTCATCCTCTGTCATCCCCTTCTCCTCTTGCCTTCACACTTTCCCAACGTGAGGGGCTTTTCCAGGGAGTCTTCTCATGAGACAGCGAAAGTCTTGGAGCCTCAGCTTCAGGATCTGTCCTTCCAGTGAGCACTCAGGGCTGATTTCCTTTAGATAGGTTTTTTCTCCTTGCAGTCCAGGGACAATTACGTTTAATTGCTGGGCATTATTTTCACTTGAGACTCAAATTTTGAAATTGATCCTTAACCCCGAAACCTGCATTCGGGCAAATGTACAAGACATTTCTTTCTTTTTATATCATTTTGGTCATTCTGGCTTTAACAACGTTTGGACGGGGCCGAAGGGACGCATTCAGAGGAGATCCTTTTGATGCAAAGAGGAGGGAGAGCAAAGGGGTTTCCAGTCTGGTGTAGCTAAAGTGGATCTTTAGACAGGATGTGGGAAAGCTTATTATGGGGAGAATCCTCAGCTGAGAGCTCAGGGTGCTTAGACACAGTCCTTCCTCCCCCTTTGCCTTCTTATCCAAAAGCCTCACATCATTTCTGACAGGACCAGGTTCTCCTGATTTGCCAGTTGCTGGTGGAGCCCAGGAAATGGTCAAAACACCAGAGGCAGCCACTTGTGCAGATGTATGTGTGGGGTGCTTCATCTTGCAACGTCAGGACCGCGGGACACATAGGCAACGTACCAAATCAGTATTAAGCCGCATTGCATCTTTGGCCGTCTTGTTAAAAATAAAGACAGGAGGAAGTCAAACATGACAAAAACTTCCTTAGAATATGTCTTTTTTTCCTTTTTTCTGGGCCATTGAAGTGGAGGAAAGAAAGCCTCCTGCCTACTGATTTTTTTTCCTGGAAAAGCCCTTTTCCTGCCCCTGTCAAAAACACTTGCTAGTTGGACTTCAAAAAAGTCAGCCAGAAGGAAGAAACCCTGCTCTTGTTTCTCTGTGGAAGTTGCACTCCACTCTCTGCCCCTGAGAGAGGAGGAGGAATTAAAGAACCTCTTAATGAGGGTGAAAAAGGAGAGTTCAAAAAAAATGGTCTGAAGCTCAACATCAAAAAAACTAAGATCATGGCCACTGGTCCCATCACCTCCTGAGAAATAGAAGGGGAAGATATGGAGGCAGTGACAGATTTTACTTTCTTGGGCTCCATGATCACTGCAGATGGTGACAGCAGCCACGAAATCAAAAGATGCCTACTTCTTGGCCGTGGATCCTAGATTAAATCAAGCCTGAACCCTCTCTGGAGGCAGAAATGTTGAAACTGAGGCTGTCCAAGTTTGGGCACATCACTAGGAGGCAGGATTCTCTGGAAGAGACAATAATGTTGGGAAAAATGGAAGGCAGCAGGAAAAGAGGAAGACAAAACACGAGATGTACTGACTCCCTAAAGGAAGCCATAGCCTTCAGTTTGCAAAAGCTGAGCGAGGCTTTCTGGAGGGCACACATTCATACGGTCGCCATAAGTCGGGGGCGACTTGACAGCACGCAACAAGGACAACAGGGTGTCCGCCGCCAGCCTACGTATTTATTCCAGCGTGCAAACAAACAGTAGAAATTGCCGCCACCTCCCGTGTCTCTTTCCTGAAGCTTCTGTAGGAATATTTAGAATTGGAACCCTGGTAGCTCTTCTGGTAAGAAAGGTTGGCAGCAGACCAGTCTCCAGTCAGGCAGCTAAAGAGGAAGGTCCTGTACTGGGAAGGTGTGAAAGGAGCCCAGTCGCTATTTTTTTCAAGACACACTCTCCCTGGATCGTGAGGAGTTGGGAGATTTTGCAGGTTGATTAAAGGCCTTGACTTTCTTAGTGGACGCCCTTTTCAGCAGCCGGTTCCATTTGGCAAACAGCCTCCTGGTGCCTCGGCATGCCATTGGCAAATATCCTGTGCCTCTTCCGGAGAACCAGCTTTGGCTTTTTATTGCCCGGGTGCTCTTTGATCGTCTGGGGCCTGTTCCTTTGATCTCCTTTCTGCCTTTCTCCGTCAACACAGAGCGAGTAACTCCTTTACTCTTCCTCTCAAGGAGAGCCTGGAAGTGTCCCTATGCAAGTCTCTTAAAATATGGAGCAGTAAGAACAGGACTTTGAAAATGGTCTTGCAGCTTCCAGGAAAAAGGTTGATATTAGTCAGGAGGAGATCGACCAGCGAGAGAACCCAAGTGGGCAAATGGATGATGGCAGTCATTAGCGTGGGCGGCTTCGTTAGAAAACAGAAATAGACTGTTGCTTGTGGGAACGCTCAGTGGCTGTGAGACACCACGTCTGAATGGGGCTTCCAGGTGCAAAGGTAGTATATCTTGAAGGATCGGGCGTTAGGGACAAACTACAAAAGCAAGCCATAACCTTTGCTTCCTGCTCACGGACTTCCCGGAGACATCTGTTTGGCCTTTGCTGAAGAGACAATTTTTCAGAGGATGATGAGCTTTTGAGCTGGAGAATTTTTCAGAGGACAATGAGCTTTTGAGCTATTCCGGCAGAGATGACCTTTAGATTCTTTCTCCTTTTGAGCGTCTGCCACGAGTGCAACTCCTCCCATGGGAAATATTCCTCCTCCTCAAAACTTCATTAAAAGCATGATTTAGTTGCATCAGTAGCCACACGGAGAGTGAGATGCAAAATAAATCCAGTT